TTATCGAGAAAGGTTTTAGCTCATATTGAAAAAAGATTCGAGGATTTACCACTTGCGCCAGTGATTATAGTTGATTAAATAACTTGTGTAACTCGATATCTCCGCTAAAATAATTAACCTATCATATGATATGTACCATAGAAGGAATTCGAATGTAATAGAATCTGCGATATACTAACACTGTGGTTATTTGTGTAACAGATTTCATATATATTACATTTTCCCACATAAACCGGATCGTTAATTTTTGCCTGTGAAAATTTCTTTGCTTTTGTAATAAGAATACATGCAAACGAAACTCGAAAAGGCAATAACGGGAAATAGCATGACAATTTTTATTAGTGCAGTTAGCAGGTTATAGGGCTTTGAAATCTCTTTAATCTCCACAATCTCCGTAATCGCCGAGATCCATGCATATTTCATCTTCTGACTTCCCTAGTGTAACTTTTTAAGCAATATAAAGGATCTGATCAACCAAAAACGGAGACAATAAATTTTCATTTTCTATCTTGCTACATACGACGCAGTGCATAAAACCAGATTTCAACGCCATATACCATTATAAAACGACTATGCCTTCAGAACCTGCCTCGCCTTCAAGCATATATTCCAGCGAAGAAGAAATAACTCGTACCATGGGAGACGTTATTAAAGATTATGATACTGAGGAGCTTATCGACTATTTAGATAGGCAGAATCTGAAACTTAAGGACCCCCATTTTGCTATTTTTCGTAAACAAGAAATAGCTGGTTCTGATTTTCTTGAAACGACTAAGGAGGAATTTCTCAATTATGGTTTTAAAGGAGGACCCGCAAAAAGACTTGCGGAATTTGTTGAGAAGCTTAATGAGACAAAATTACAGGCTTTCTCGTCATATAAAAAAGTAGAACAGCTAAAGGAATTGCTCAAGAAGTATAAGGTCAATGGAGAGGAGATAACCGATATCAAACAATTTAACCCAGGTATGAGTTTATTTTTAGACAAGTATATCCCGCTCCGCAGTGACAAAAGTGATCGGTAAAAACCGCACTGTTAACGTTTTTTCGTTGTATAGTTTTCGAGGAAATCGATGATGATGATAAGACCCTCGAACAATGCATGAGTGAAATAACATTAAGACTTTCGAACCTGGAGACGATGCAAGACAGTGCTAATGAAGTAACCCGCTGTGTGTTCATCACATCTATATTAAACGCATCACTTGCCATTGTCCGAAGGCTTACCGAAGAAGAAAAAATATACATATCTTATCAAAGAGCTGTTTCAGGCGAGGACTCAACAGGACGTGTTGACTATGCTATCAAAGGAAAAGAGGATCTTATATGTATAGCAGAAGGAAAGCCCCGCAATGTCGAAATCGGTTACCTCCAAAATATAAAGCAACTAGAAAGCGCACGTCATATGAATAAAGGGAAGCGAACCGCAGAGCAGGCATTTGAAAATGATGATGATTATCTTTACGGGATAGTCTCTACAGGTATAAATAGCAAAGTTAATATTTCTGATTACAATGCTAGTGCCCGACATATAAAAATTTGTTATATATTTTTGCTTATCTTTTTCTCTAGCTACGGAATGGCATTTTATTAAGCTCAGTACAGAAGGTTTATATTCTACCAGCAAAAGTGAATATCGGATTAATTTAACCAAAACGGCGCTGAAAGAAGATATTGAATCAATTCGAAAGGGCGTTAAAAAAGTGCTTGGAGTCATTGTGGGGTTATTAAGGGATAGGGTTACGATGTGCGACGAACACGAAATTAAGAAGCGTCGTATTCAAAAAAATAAATGATAGATTTTTGTATCTGTATTTTATCATGTATCTGCCATCTATGTACCTATATTTTATTTGTAACAATAAAGCGAATATACGTATATTTTTTCCGAAATAATTTTCTTGGCAAAGTGATCGGCGTTCCGGAAAAGAACGCACTAGTAATTTTTTCGTGTATATGTGATTTACTGGATTTTCGGTTAGAGGGACGTACAACGTATCATGTGTTATTTTTTGTATAATTTCTTGGCAAAAGTGATCGGCGTGACAAATTGTCACGCACTAGTATATTGTATGTGTAATCAGGCCCAGAGGGCGCCTCCATGAGGCATAATTTTTCGGAATAATTTTCTTTGCAAAAAACCGTGAATAATTGTGAGGTTTTCAAAAGACAGGGTAACCCGAAAGCAAAAGGCGTCGTGTGCAAGAAAAAATAAAATAGATAGCAATTTTGTTTCTTGTATTTTTTCCGAATTTTATATTTTGACGACGGGCCGTCGCTGAAATATACTTATTTTTTTTTGCATTATTACAAGTAAAAAAATTTTGACCTATGTCATTGGCGCAGTAATGTGTCAAATACAAAAAGATGATCTTTGGCGTGTAACCCCAACATTTAACTTTTCCGTGTAAACAATGTCAAATAACGCGATTCATAAATATTTTAATCAAAAATATACCAAGTGGTGTATAAATGAGTTCCTAAAAGAATGCGACGAAGAATTGTTCCAAGTAAAAATAGATATATATCTAAAAAGTCTTCAGAACGTCGTTGAAATTTGTAAGGGAAAACAGCGTGAAAAGGCACAACAACTACTCGATAGATATAAAAACGTAAGTATTTTTTTGTTGCAAATGTCGGAAACAAAGTGGCGTGGCAGGAATCTTTTCGTTTCTTTCCATTCAAGCCTTTTAGTCGAGCCACAAAACCAGTGTTAGGGCACAGGCAATCTTTTAGTTTGTCTGATGTTCAAGTCTTTTAGTCGACCTGACACTGGACCCATCTGGCACAGGCAATCTTTTAGTTTGGCTGATGTTCGGATGGGATGAGAATAAGACGTGTTGAGAATAATACTAATTGGCCAAATCTTTTATTTAAGGGTTCACGGCCCGATCACAAAGTAGCGAAAATGTGGGAGCAGAATCGTTTGCAAAAGATACATATCCACAAGCCGAAATTTACGAATTATGAAACTAACAACGGGACTGTTTATGACGGGATAATAAAAAATATAAATAATTCCGTTCCGCTCGAGGTAGAATCCGCAAGCCTTTAATTATGATGAATTTAAGCTATGAAAATTTTTATATTCATGACTATGTTGGCTTTCTTTAGAAAGGAAATCCCCTTTTCAGGATGAAGTTGAGAGAAAGGAAAAAACAAGTACATTATGATGAAAATCAGGACCCAGATTTCTCGAATTCCTCAGATTATCCAGAGCCTAAGAGGGTTAGTGATGCAGACATGTTTTAGCTACTTTTAAACTTAATAATTGACTTTTCTACAATTTTCGATTCAGGTAAAAAGACAATCCCAGGAGGAACAAGATCTAGAAGAACAATCCGAAGATGCAGAGGAAGAAAGGTCCGCGGATAAAATTGAGGATGAACCAGGTAATATAATCAAACTCATTTACATTGTATGTTAAATTATGTATTAACATTTCTTTATGATGCGGAATTCGTAGCTTTGAAACAGAAGTCATTCCTTGATTCACCTAAAGAAACAACCAAAAACGGTACCATTGATCCAAAGAGCCAAACAGAATCTGCTAGTAATTCGAACGACACAAATTATGATTTGTTAGTGGCTCAGACTGAAACCATAACTGCCGATGATGATGACGATAACAAAGATGATGATAATTCCTATGTTTCTTTGGTATCTCAGACACAAACTGAAACTACAACCACTGATAACTATGATGATAGCAAAAAGTCCGTGTCTTTGCTAGCACCGCGGATTGAAATCGTGTTGGGAAAAGACATTATAAGTAACGAAGAGAGGTAATGTAATTATTTATGCTAATAACTACGAAGCAATAATCCTCACGGTTGTTTGAATAGGATAAACGATGCACTAGAAATGAGTGCTAAAGAGACCATTCGAAATGATGGGGATAAATGGATTTTATGTGGCATCGATTTACAGGAAGCACTAACAAAATGGAAACAAGAAAAGATTCGACCGCGCACTGAGTAAGCATTTTTTTAAATACGTGTGTTCAGTATGTGATAAATTTGAATAGATCTAATGTAATGTACTGATGTTGGAAATTTTTAGTCTGGCATTCTATGATATCGTAGATATCACACCAGGTTCGAATAGTGATTTTCTACGATCACTACCTGACAATGCAGTACATGAAATAAAACAGTTAATACCGTCACCAACACCTAATACGAACAACGAAATGAAAGATTACATTATTGAATTTATTAAGGTATCATTAGTTTTGTGATTTTTAATGCAAATATTTTGTTGCTTTGCTTTAAATTTTTCTTAACATCTCACGATGTAGACAAAAGAATTCCGTAATTTTGTGGATGAGAGCTACTTGAAAACGCGAGTCAATAATACTACAAAATTTATATGGGATTACTTGAATATTCTGTAATAATTAAAAGCCATTTAATAAATATGTTTCCTCTACCTTCTTTGATCTTATATTCAAGTTTTCTTTTTTTCTTAGTGTTGAATCATTTGAAAGGGATAACGATTTAACGAATTATAATCTGTCCGAATTCGGGTATCGGGAAATATTCTTTACCCCTCTAATTCGAAGTCTTTTCCGAGGCACGCACCGGGAAATGAATATTTATTTGTAGGTATATGAATAACATGTTATAAAATTTTTGATATCATTTTTTTAAACAAAACTGTAATGTACCTTTACATAGTGGCGAAAAATGTCTATTCGCTTCATTAGAAGATCGTAATCGGGGAAAAGATGATGGCGAAAACCGTAATGCAGGCCGAAAAATAGACATCATCTGGTCTATGAAGCCAACTGACCTTGAGTTCTCTATTAGTGAAATCAGTGGGCCACCGAACAAACTTGATCATTCACATTTTTTTAATGACAAAATAAAACTTGCCAAGAATTTAAAGGTCATCATTAATAGGATCGTGAAAAAGTATGGTGGTACAGGAATGAACTTGAGTTTATTAAAATTGTACGGTCTACACGTTTATTGTAAGTATTGCCAACTTTGAAAATTGTTAATATTGTACAAAACTAACATTCTATTACTTTTCATAGATAATGAAATGATCGTTTATGAAATGTCAATACCATTTCGTGGACTGTATGTTTTTTGTGAGGTTTTACGATCAAAATTACCAACGAATGCTGTTGAAGTGGGGTTAATAAAACTTTCTGTATCAGCATTTATCAAATTTAAGGTTTGTTTTCATTCTGATCTAACTATATTACATTAGTTTCTTACATTTATTTATGAAATTTTTATTGTACTGCATCATTAGGAATTACTTGAAAAAAGTTTGACTGATCTGAAAAGTTATATTCGGGATGCATGTACCCGTACACCCGATAATAATGAAAATGCACACCTGTTCATTACACTAACTGATTTGACGCCCGAAAAAAAGAAAGTACAACCAGTAGATGGGAAAAAAAGAAAGTGACCTTGACATTCTGTCAAAATGTTTTCAATAAATCATTTAATGAAAACGTTTTCTAATACTGCATAAGTAATTTAAATGTGTAATGACATTGACAAATTGTAATGCGATCATATAAACGTTTTGGTATCTTATTTATTGTTATACATAACTATTGACCAATACATAGTATGCATCAAAATAATGATGATCGTGAAATGATTATATATTCGCTCCTTTCAACTACAAATGCAATCACGATTCGTGGTTAATTTTAACTAAGTATCGCAATACTTCTATCTATAATATATATTTTTTTGACAACGGCCCATCGTTGAAATTTTGTTACTTTGTTACCCATTTTAAATAAATAAGCTATATACAATCTATTACTAAAACATGCAATCCGAGATTGATTCATTAAAGCAACGAATTTCCGAGCTTGAAGTCGAAAAGGCTGAGCTTGAAGCCAAGAATGCCGAGCTATTAAAACAGGTTATGGAAGAGAATGCCAAGCGAGAAGCCGAAAATGCTGAGCTCAAGGCCAGAATCGAGGAGCTAGAGAAAAATAAAATAGATACTACTAATCTCAAGGCCGAGAATGATAAGCTTAATGCAAGGGTTGTGAAATTGGAACAGTCATCAAACAATATTACACACGAATTAGAAAATTCTGTTCTCCACGAAGCATCGTCCGATATTTCTTCTAATATATGTGCACCCCCATCCAAGTCTAAATCGTTAGAAGATATAGAGACTGATAATTTCCTGGATACGCAGAGTAAGAAAGAGGTTAGTAATATGATGATAAAGAAGAATAGGGAAAAGAAACTATTACGGAGTAATGAAGCTCCCGCTTCTCAAACTCAAGAGTCACATAATACTTTGCCAATTTCTGATGAAGATAATTCATCCGAAGTCTTATTGCAAAGCAATGTCATTAACGTGCCTGAATCTCTGGATCCAAAAACTGTGAAAAAGCTTTGGGATCAAAGCAAAAGCCAGAACGAAACATCCCAATCGCACAAGAAAAAGGGAACTGAGAATATCGCTCAAGTAATAGCTGATGGCATTCAAGATAATATTCTTTCTGATCCAAATCATGTGATTGAAATTTCAGCGACGGCCCGTCGTCAAAACTCTGATACAATCTCATTACTCGACTTGGCACAATTATTTGATAAAGCAACTGATGCTGAACATTATGCTATGAAAGCCAACCAAGAAGAAACCTTATGCTGGATTAGTTATGGGAAAGAATTCGTATTTCAGTATAATGATCTTATAAAAAATAGCAATGGAAAAATTGGCGAGAAAAAAGCTAAAGGTATAATTTATGATAAAATATTGGAACACCTTAATATCATCCGTGAAAGAAGGTCCAAGGAAATGGCATTACAGCTCCCAGAAATTTCGCGTAAAACTTTATGCAAAAAGACCCAAAAAGCCGTAAGGACTTATAAATTATTTGAAAAAATAGGTATAGATAAAATTAAGTACCTTAAAGCATACAGCGCAAATTCTATCTCAGAATTGACTAACGAACAAATTCAAAAGATTATCGATAATATTTCTAATAATGAGTCTAATATAGAACATCACATGACTGAAATTTCGACGACGGCCCGTCGCCAAAATTGTGCAACCGAAATTTTATCTGAGGCAAGTATACCTATCGAAGAGACAAAATCTCAGCGTAAGCTGGGTAAAGGCCAAGCTTCAGACTCATCTGTTTCTATCGATTCGAAAACTTTACCAGAAACTGAGGTAAGTACATCACCGGAAAATTTATCAGAAACGATTTCAGAGGAATCAACTGAGGCAAGTGTATCATCTAATCCGACCCATGATCGTGATTACTTTCGTAATAAGATATTGTTGCGATATTCTGATCTATATAAAACATTTATTAATGAAAAATTTGATTACTATGATATTATTGAGGGATCATTGTGCCCAGTATGTAAATTAAATCACGAAGATGGGAAAAGTGTAAAAGGTAGATACGAAGCTGGATCCTATTTTATTATATGTGGAAAGCGTGAAATCGAAATAACAGAATAAATCGCAAAGTCATCCAGGTGTAACCACTATGTGACTGCCTACAGCAAATCCCGGTTTCATTAATTACGATATTTATTTTTTTTAAATTGCTATTTCGGGATATGCACAGTGTTTAAGTGAGACGAAGACACAACCCATACTTAATTTGAATTTGCGGTCGTATAAAACAATAAAAACAAAAAATATGGATAAAACCTATTTCGGAGAAATGACACTTCGTGCCTTAACCCCTGAATATTTGGACTGGTATGCTAAATTGGTTGAACCACCAAGTTCTTTGACTGATAAAATTCGTTTGATCTTATATAGAGCATATACGGAAGAGACTGGGCTCGATCCTTGGATAAAGTCTGAAACTCCTGAACCCCCACAAATCGAAAATGCTGATAATCATCTTTCACGAGACTGTATCATCAAGATTTCTAAATTTCCAGAAGAGAAAGACTTAATTATTAAAACAGTACATAAACGCTTCCCTTTCTTGACATATACCAA